TTTTGACATTTTGTTGATAGATATTTTTTTCTTCTTTATTGACAACCGAGTTTCCATCGAGTTTCCAATATGGTTTTGATGACCAGTATCGAGTGGTGTACGGCAATATCAGATAAAACCTATTTTATTATAACCTATTTCCTTGCGTTGCGGCATTACTAAGTATATAGGTACAAGACTAGCCCCACGACTTCGTCCGCGTATTATAATGCCTTCTGGCAGAATGTGGGTTTTTGAATAAGTCTTTTCCGAGGTTAATTCTAATGCGATTAACAAATCGGTATCTAAGTTACATTTATTGTAAAATGAATTATTTTTCAAATAATAAGCATTCGCACATGGGTTTTATCCGTGTAGTGTACATTCCCGTGAGTTATCAGTGATAAAAATTATTCAATGTCCTTTCCCGAGTTGCAAACCACTGTTGTACCCAATTTCAATAAATAGGTTCAGTGGTTTAAACGATAGAGTCCCGGAATATTATTATTCCGAGGTTATTCCTTGTTTATTAATAGGAATTTAATTCTGAAGTTAATACTTTGTTAGTCCGGGATTAGCTAGTCCAAGACTAACCTGTGAATAAGTTTGGAATATGAGATTTTTATTAATAAGACCGTATATGTATAGTGTCATATTTTTAAATTGTAAGTACATGTCCAAAGTGATTCGTTGGATATGGAGTCATCATCATCAACAGCCTGTTGTCGTCCACTGCTGGACATAAGCCTCTCCAATAGTACGCCACCGAGCTCGATTTTTAGCTCTACGTATCCAACCACTACGAGCCACTTTACGTATAGTCACCCCTACCTAGCTGGAGGGCGCCCTACATTACGTTTGCTTACGGATATGGATAGTATACAATAGGTACTAAAAGAATTATTGAAATTGAACCAGTAGCGCGGGAGACTAGCGCATACAATGAAACAAACGAAGTCATTAGCTTTATATAATAGTGATATAATGTAAGATACCATAAAAAGGTGTCTGGTGGTTTTTGATATTATCGCGTTCATGAAGTTGTTGTTTATGGTTGGTTGTAATGTAATGATGAGTGACGTATTGTGTGTCAGGGCGTGGAGATGAGCAGCGCGGTGTGCGCGGTGCGCGGACAGTTGGCGGCGAGCGCCGCGGACGCGGGCGACGCGTGGGCCGAGCACTCGCCCGCGCCGCACGACGACGCCAGGCTGCTGCATCTCATACACAGGCAGAAGTCAGTACAAGCTAGCCTCTTCTAGGCATTATACGGCATTTATATATTATGCGTAGTATACATTCACATACACACAATAATTTTCGAGAAATGCATGTGAATCAATTTGTCTCTACAACAGTATTTGTCCTGAATAATTTTAAAGCTATACCTGAATTTTAAGAGCGATACGTTTACAATATTATTATTTGACAATTGGGTAGTTGCCAACAAGTGAAATCCAATACTTTTTCAAACTGCCAAAAACGACAGTTTTCTATGAATTTTGTACGAGATTGTGTATTGTGATGTCACTTTTTTAGCGTCAAACAGCATACTTATTCCTTAAAAATTAACTGGAAAGATACTAAAATTAAATTGGTCATAAAATCAATTAATGAAAGTGTCATTACTGTTTATTATTTTATTGTATTCGACAATCGAAATAATTTATTTTGATTAAGTATAGTGCCCTATTCTTGTAATTAGCGATGTCGTTTACTGAAAACTTACCCAAACTAGCTATTTTCAACAGTCCAAAATTGATCCATGATTATAAAAGTATGTTTTGCCGCAATAACATAATATGACATGAACAGGTGGGGGGCAGCACTGGCACTAGTGCGCGAGCGCAACGCGGAGCGTATCCTCGAAAGAGGCGAGCTGCCTGAGGATGACGTCACGACTCTACTACACGTCTACTGCAGAGGCCTGGCGCAGGCGCATCCAGGTAATCTAACTAGCCATTCTTTAAAAAAACATATTTATCACTGCAATTCCTGAATTGTTGTCCGTAGGTACTGTGTGTACAGTGTTGTGACAATGCCAATTAAAAGGTAGGAAGTTAGAGGTTGGATTCAGACCGGACTAAAGTATCCATTACTGATGAGTAAACAATGGAGATGTGAACAATTATTACCTTTTAAATTATTTGTGCCTAGTATTCTTACACACACTTTGAGAACTTCATAGATGTATTGAATTCCTTTGGATTGGAATAATACATTCCCTGTCATTACTTCATTATACTTAACGCTTTGACTGCTGACAGTAAACTGCTGAAGGCAAATCCTCCACTAACGTAGGTCACCGGTGACCTACGCGGCGGTTAACGTGTTAATGGAATGTTGCTGCGCCTTGTTAAATACATTTTCTGTAACAATGCGTTTATGTCTGATGCTATGTTGTTTGCTAAATAATATTTCTATGATTAAGCATTTCCACTACAGGGTAGTTTCTTTTCTCTGGTGCAGATTTGTTTTTCGATTCAACCAGGCGTTTATTTAGGCAATGCTATAAGTGCAAACTACTAAACGTCTACTAATGTTATAGTAATAGTTTTGATAACCATGTCGTGATGGACCGCGACTGTCTGGTTTACTAACACGTAACGCTCAAGATAAATAAGTTAATAAACAAAATGTGACCTTGATGTTGTGTCGGCAGATATGGTGGCTATCACGCGGCCCGTGCACGAGCTGTCCCAGAACCTGTCTTTCATGATGGAGAGCCTCTACAAGGTGTCGGTGGCACTGCAGCGCCAGGAGTACGGCTGAGCGCACTCCTACTCATCACTACACGTTTTCGTCGTCGGCCTTATAATACTATAATTAACTACATGTACTGAAACATTCACAATAATAATATATATCTAACGAATGTTTCACCATCTTCATTCAAGCACAGACTTATTGATAATACTTGCCTAAATAATAAGAATATAATATGTATCAATGATGTAACAGACAGCAATGCGACATCGCGGCCAGATTATTGTTTAGTTAACCATGTACAATTGTACTGTATTTATTATTCGTATCTGTTTCAAGCGAATTCATTAAATGACGAGCACGCTTAAAATAGTAACTTTCTTTTGTGGTGCCGAGTCACTTCTCAGGGACTCCGTGCGCTAACCGTCAAGCCGCCGTGGTTTGGTACCGCTACAGCGCCCAACGGTATATAGCTAACTACACAAAATCTACGTCAAAAGTAATGCGGATACCTCAATCGTAATTGTTTTATTTAAAGAATGTTCATTTATACCTATAAATATGTATATTGAGAAACAGTTAAGGTGATATTAGGTCGGTGATCAAGAGAATAGAGACATGTGATCAAGTTTTGTTAGGTGTACGAATTTAAGATCGAGGCAAGGTGAGGCCAAGCAGCGCCTTGTCAGTAGGTAATCACAGGTTAACCCACGACTACAGAGAGCTTATTATTATTATATTTGCTGTTTAGCTTGTGTATATTTAGGAGTAGTTCTCATATCATTTTTCAGTTCATTCTCATGAAGTTACGTCAAATCTCCGACGGCGAAGCGGACTCAAATACCATTCTAATAGTTTATAAAGTCGGTATACTAATAATGAACGTACTAAGTTTTCAAGATAACTGATCTCAGATAGTTTAATATTGTAGGACGGCCACACGTAGCGCTCCACTTAGTTTCGTGTTGTTCCTAACAACTGCATAATTGTATTATTTTTCTTGAATCATGTTTTGTGATATGTTTGCTTTTGTAATAATATTAATGACAATATTTATTTCTTAGTTTTTACATTGTAGCTACGATCGACTTTGTTTGTGTTAGATTTTGTAAATGATAAAAAGGACTGCATTGTTTTTACTTTCATTGTTTTACTTTAGTTTGTTCTTGACAAGATTTTGATGATTTTTACCTAAATAATTGAAATCAAACAGTCCATACGTTTATCTAACATAAACAGGGTCTAAATATAAATAAATTATAATATTATGTACTAATAATGTTCGTAACCATTGTAAAATGTATTGAATTGAAATAAATGAATACAAATTAAACCGTTTATTGTAATATTGATAATTTTACCATAAAATGTGTTTGTGTCTGGTAAGTGGGTCCGTACATAGCGACTCCAGGCTACTTGTGATTTTAATATATCACTAAACTTACTCTTATATTATAATTCTATTTACTATTATAATCTCGTAAAAGTTAAGACTCGTGGATACCGGGACACGGCGGGCGACGGTGCCAGCCAGAGCAATAAAGTAGTCAAAGGTGTCGGGACAATTGTATAACGATTATATTAAACAAGCCACTCGCATTACTTCACGTTAAAACCAACCATCCTGTAAATCATTGCTTACCATCGGGCGAGCTGGTGACCAAGCACAATCCTATTAAATACATTTAAAATGTGATACGTAATAGACAGTATAATAATAGTCGCCAACAGAATGTCCCACCATTATTGAAGATCCTTACTCGAAGAGTGTCAGTCACATTAAAGGCCACCAGACGTCCAGAACAAGTGTACCATTTCTAAAAAGAAAATATTTTGCTAACATATTCATTAAAAAAGTACTTAAATACTTTTTTGTAGTGAGGTACCAAGACTTAATAACATAGTAAGGAGTGTATATGAAGTGGATAGTAAATATTCTTATTCTTCTGACTGGTCTGCCTTACTCTGGCACATGTTCTTGGAAACTCAAATGTCATTGAAATTAACTTCTTTAATCGAATTTTATAAAACTTGTAGTACGATTCTTACGACTGCCTTCTACAATTTTATGTTATGGATTTATGTTATCCTGGTACAGGTTCAATGAATCTCAAACATCAATTCTACTACAAGTGTGTAGGAAATCTATACTAATAGTATAAAGATTTGATTGTTTGTTTGAAGGGCATGTACTCCGAAATAACCGCCGATGAAAAATTATTTTACCGCTGGAATTCTACATTATCGATGCTGAACATAGAAAATTTCGTAATTTAACCCGATGTTTCAAAAATAAATCAAAATAACTATAAGGATTTTTTTGCTTAAGCCTTTGACTGCCAATAAAAACTGTTTTCAAGGACTAATCATAGTCTTTAGCTGCATCAGAATCAGAGATTTTAAAGAAAAATACGAATTCAATTAACTGAATACATTTTATTCATGGACTAGCTTTTGTCCATGGTAATTTGGATTAATACTCTGTTATTATTAAACTCCCCCACAATCTCATGTTACAATGTTAGTAGTTCACAGCGTGGGAGGACAGTGTCGGCTGCACACCATTGAGCGTGATCCACACATACTACTGTACTATACACTCAGATTGTAATAAAATTGTGTATTAGTAATATATTACCTATCTAGAAAGAGGAATAATTTGTATTGTAAATATTATATTAAAATTGCAGAATTTACTTTATAAACAGAGAACTCTGTGCTCGCTGAGTAGTAGGTACAAAAGAAAAACAATACTCTTCGTACATGGGGTCATAACAAGCATAATAACTTGTTTCCTTGAAAAATTGACACCATTTTTAGCTAATACACATCAAAATTATCGAAAACAAATTATAAAACTTTAACCTTCAATTTTGGCCTCGAAATACTGACAGTTTAGTATATAACCGTATCGGCTTCAGAGTGTCTGTGGTTAAGGTTCAATTTCTCCTCCATGTTTAGATAAGTGTCAGAACACTTATAATAATGCGATAACAAACGTTAAATTAAAATAAAAGTGAGAAAATATTAAACATACATGTATTTGAAACACACACTTCAATGGTACCACCCGAGCATCGAGATAAGGTGGCAAGCGAGGGACAGATAATATTTTAAAATCTCATTCTGTACAATTGAAAGTAGTCAATATAAAATGTTTGGGTCGGCGCAGAGCCCGCGACGAGCAGGGGGCGCTATCTTAATCTTTGTAAGACAATAAATTAGTGGACGTCGACACAAGTCGCGAGTTGATAAACTGCGTAAAATAAAATTACATTATTTCAAATAAAACTTAGTGAATAGTGTTGCGGCTGCGAGTCCGCGCCGACCCTGTGTAAATGTAGATCCAACGTGCAGTTATGATGTAAATATTGCACATTAATAACACTGTAATAAATACACAATACTTGTAAAATCTATTATAAAAAGTTGCGCGCGCCGACTGGAGCATCGCAAACGTGTAAAGTTAATTATACAATGTTTGTTAATACCTAGTAGTTAATCATTTTAATTTTCAGTCCTTGTATATAAAAATACATAAAAACAGTATAATATTCAAACATTATAGGACTACGAGATAGTTGCTATAGATCGCTTTCAATACCCAGAATTCCCGACAGATATTAACTACGTAGCGAATTAGTAGACCATGATTCATAATCACAAGTGTGTTAATTATATTGCAAACTTGATCTAACATACTTGAAGTATAATATAGTAATGAGCTGTTTTCTAGTTCGTGTCTTAAGACTATTCGCATCCCTGTATCAATGCTAGTCATAATATAAGCAAACGAGCTAACGTGCGCTATGTATTAGTGTAAGTGTCGATCTAAGCGGAGTGCATATTGCTGTCTCTAACTACTATAAGATTACACGACACAGGGACGGGCTCATTTATCGGCTAATTTAACGATTGTGTTGAGACAGGACTACGACAACATTTATGTACAATATATACACATTGACTGCATAGGTATAGTGAGTAGCGCGGGTCGGGCCTATATCTACGTCCGTACCTTCTACTGTGTGTCGGTGTGAACCTGTACAAATATAGCTTAGCTTTTATAAACAATATATTCGATTCTACAACACTACTTAAAATGAGATGTCGGTTACACATTATGCTTCATATACGATACAATATTTACATAAATCTTGCGTAAAACATGATAATATTATTTGATTTGAAATAATAATAAATTACTTGATATATTAATATCTAACAACTTTGTTCATTAATCATATACAGTAGCTTCCACTTAAAACGTTTGCTAGTAACACTTAAATACTGATGTCATCAACCTATTGAAGTCTAGTCGGTGACAACTTTATAATATAAATAGTGATGCGATCATTAATACTCTAGTGGAAGTGGATTACTTGTTTATGTACTTACAAAAGCGGACAGATTCGTAATAACTGTGCTATTTATTTACTCAAAGTGAATTAATCTACTTATGTATGAGCTCTGCGCGGAGAACAGCTAATATACAGACAGTTGCCAATGCGATGTTTGCGTAATAACTATACCTAATACGATAACATATGAGTTACACTAACGGCGCGGCGGTCCACTGTGATGAACGACACGCGAGTAGCCGCGGACCATGAACCACACACAATACACATACATTTCTCATCGCAATGCGGTGGTTGTCGGTAGTCCGGGGACTAGGTCGCGGGCGAGAGTGTGGCGCTCGCGACGGAGAGGATGTGTCTGTGAGTGCGCGGAGTGGAGTGCAGGCTAGGGTCGGCGTCGCCTGGCGGTGGCGCGCTGAGCCCGGCCTCAGTTGAACAGGACTGAGTTCGGGTCCTCGTTGTCCATCTGCTTCACGTGCCGCAGCACGTCTTTCTTGGTGATCACTCCTAGGAGACGTCTGAAAAATGATATTTCTTATAGTTATGGGTCGGCGTTGTTAACTGAGCAATCATTGAAGTCTATCATACCACATGGAAGACCGAAAGGTTAGCAACTATTTGCGTGATTGATAAGCCTTTGCCACGCCGGTTGATGAAATCGATTGATTCTAGCTGGTACTTAGCCATGCTATCACAAAGATGGGAGCAGTATTCCCTACACCACCTCACGTGTACAATGCTTAGTAAAATGTAAGCAAATTGATTCTAAATTGAAATACTAGCTTCTGCCCACGACTTCGTACGCGTAATCCCATTTTTTCCCGTCCCCGGTTCGTGATTTTCGTTAAAAAGAAAAAAAAAATGTTGTCAAACCCTATGTCGTACCCTATGTCGGTCTCCTGGCTCTAAGCTACCTCCCTACCAATTTTCAGCCAAATCTATTCTGCCGTTCTTGAGTTATAAGTGGTGTAACTAACACGACAGATTGACTGAACAATTAAGTGAATATACAAAAAAAATGTATTGAATAGAAAACGCTACCCGTTGTGAGTGACCAACGTCTGCCTCAGGCCAAGCTTGCGGAACATGTCCACGACCGTCTCCATGGGGGTCTGGTCGGTAACGGTGATGGGGGCCATGTCGAGGATGCGGTTCAGCATGAGGCAGGGCGGCGGAGATAGCGGCTGGTTGCCCGTGCCCGCGAAGATGACGATGGTTTGTCCTGTAATGCCTTCCATGGTGCGGCGCGCGTTCGCTGAAGCATACAATGAACAGAAATGACAGAATAGTCTCTTTTTTTCTTTTAATGTCAGTATTTCATCAAAAAATTTATTATTATGATTTATTTTTAAATGTGGCCGCACGCTACAGTTTTCTCGTAACGTGTGCCTTTACGTCACGCCCAGATCTGGAACAACAATTTGTGGATCACACAAGAGTGCGGCAATCGAACTCTCAGCACGTTTACGTTTGCTCGACTCAGGCATCGAACCCACGATCCATTTCACATCAATCGCCCTCACGACCACTTGAAGAACGAGGCAGTCACAGTATTATTTAGTTATCCGTCTGCAGAATCACATACCTATGGCGAGGTTGAGGTCCCTGCGCAGCACGAAGCCCACCAAGTACTGTGACTCCTTGGACACGACCACTGGGTACCCATTGTGCTCTGTTTCCTTCAACAGAGTCTCCACATCATCCACCGTCATCGAGTCCTGGGTGATCACCGACAGCGTCTCGTTGCGTCTGTAGACAACGAAATAACTACGTGTACACCTTCTTCGCTACACACTCATGTAATGCGAGTCTAACAGAAGAGATCAACACATATGGTGGTGACAAGGACACAACTAACAATATGAGCACCACAGTAAAACATTGCAAGGCTAAATAACATAATAATTTGGCAAGTGGCTGAGTTTGTACAATCGAACACATGGCTTGTTTTATATTTATAACATATCGCAAGCACGAGGTGTGCACTGGAACTCATGCACTGGAAGGTTGCATTATTTAGTACTTGACTTTAGAAATTCTCAGTTAGTTAATATGTAGTTTTGCTAAAGCAGAGATTCATAGCAACAAGTTTATCATTCGCGCTTCAACATGTACAGTAGTATACAATCTGTATGTTCGCAGCTAGGCAGCAGTTGTTGGCACGCTGAGCTTATACTACAGCTATTAATATTATTATTTATTTCTTAAAATTATTATTTGGCACCAAAATATACAATCATTTTTAATAAACAAATGCATAATAATCTTGCGTGATGTAATAAAGCACTCACTTGGGTTGCATGACATCTGCAGCGAGCGAGGTGTGCTGGAACTCGTCCTTGCTGTCGAGGAAGGGGTACCCGTTTAACGCGATGTGCGCGTCGTAGATTCCCTGCCGGCCCAGCGCGTCGCCCACCCACTTGGACGCCATGGCGGCCGCCATCAGCGGCACGATGTAGCGCACGCCGCCCGTCAGCTCGAACATGATCACCACCAGCGACACTGCACCGACAACATCAAGTCACACTCTACCCGCACACAGCTACACAGTATACAACAACAACCAGCAAGCTAGACCAGACCTGTCATCCGTGTGACGCCGCCCAGCACGGCGGCGGCGCCCACCATGGCGTACAGGCCCGGCGTGATGCAGTCGTCGCCCGTCGAGCACTCGCCCGAGAACAGCCACACCTTCGGGTAGTTGTAGGCCAACTGTTCCACACCTGCAGACAAAAAAAATAATACAAAAGTAACAGAAATTCATTATACCAATATGTTTAATATAAATAAATGAAGTAGATACGCGAGCACTACTTACCTATGCCTACGATGCGGCCGGCGATGGCTCCAAGCGCAAGGCTGGGTATGAACAGTCCGCAAGGCACCTTGATGCCGAACGTGAAGATTGTCATGACGAGCTTCAGTATTAGTGCGAGCACCAGCAGCCAGATGGCGTGGTATACGCCCGGCCCGGCCGCCGCCTTCTCGATCGCGGAGTTCACGTCAGTGAAGTTGCGGTTGTAATCACTGCACAACATACACATGACATTAGTTACAAACGTTACGAACTTAGAGCAGACAATCCAATGTAAACATAAACAAACACACTGGTGTTTGGTACGTGAGTGCTCACTCACCACAGAGGGTCAGAGTTAGAGATGCCGCATTGGTTGAACAGCAGGTAGATGAGCTCGCTTGTGTTCATGCGGGTGTACGGGTTGGGGTAGGCGATGATGGCGGTGACCAGCGTCACCACTAGCACCTCCGTCACTGGGTACTGGCCCAGCTTCGAGAACTTGCGGTAGCGGCACCAGAAGATGTTCGCCTTTATGAATATCGTCGCTATGCAGCCCTGGCAACACACACACAACCTCGTTACTTGTCTTACCTCGGCATGAAATATAACAATGGAAATATATACCAACAGCGAGTATACTCACCCCGATAATACCGAGACCGACGAACGGTATCAGCTCAAAGAATATCCACGGCTTGTTGTATTCCACGAAGAAGAGCACAGAATGCTCGTTGCCGAATGGATTAATGGAGCGCAGGATGAAGGCCGCGATCAGCGCACAGAAGAACGAGCGCCAGAGCGTCTTCAACGGGAAATAGTAGGACACCTGAGGACATGCACAAACGAATAAATCAATCGATCTATATAAACAAATCTAGCAAGTAGTTACCCAACTATTTACGAAAGCAATAACAGAACAAAGAATATTGCAATCACCTCTTCTAAGCTGAACAGCACTCCTCCGATGGGCGCTCCGAAGGCGACGGACACGCCAGCCGCTGCAGCCGCCGACAGGATCTCACGCTTCTTCGCTTCATTACGCCCGTACTTCGGGAACAGGTACGACAGAATATTTCCTACAAAATACAGAAACATATTGCATATATTCCAGATACACAACGGGAATTGATATACAAATAGTTGTGTCAATATTTACTCACCGAGACAACTAGCAATGTGCACCATTGGCCCCTCTTTACCGAGTGAGAGGCCAGAGGACACTGACAGTATCAGGCCAACCACCTTGATGATCAGTGTCCACTTGCCCAAGTATCCTCGGATGATGAAACCACTCAGTATGGTCTTGATCTCGGGAATACCTGAAATATAGTCGTGAAGGTGTAATGTATCGCGGGTTTGACTTTTAGGTCGGACAGTGCATTTCTGAGCCTTTCGATTTCTTCAAAAATCTCAGAAATTAGTAGAAGTCTGAAATAAGGTAAATCCCAGAGTGTGAAATATAAAAAATGTAATTAATCCGTCAGATCATCATCATCATTATCATCATATCAGCCATAGGACCGACCGCTGCTGGACTTAAGCCTCCCCCAAAGACTTCCACATAGGCCGGTTGTAAGCGACCTGCGTCCAGCGGCTCCCTGCGACCTTAATCAAGTCGTCTATCCACCTTGCGGATGGATGTACAAAGGTACGAATAAAGGTTGCTGACATAGCCCAGCGGTTTAGCTAGTGGCAGTGGGCAAGGCACATAGCGCCGACGGCCGCTGGGGCAGAAAGGATCTCTAGTTCTCGTCAGTTAGATAAGTTTTTTTTCTCCAACATGTTACAATACACGATAGATAAATTGGAGTTAAGTTTAGGAGAGGGGAGTTCGTCATCACAAAGTGCTACAAAATGTAGCACGCTGTGTCGTCACACGATATTTCAAATTAGTGATTTTCGAAATTATTTAATTTTGTGATAAAAGAAAAAATACGTGTCTAATGTTCTAAATTAATCTACCACACGGACTTAAAATAAAATGTAGGAAACTACCCTAATGTTCTTAAGATTTGGGAATAGGGTCGCCGCATTCAGTTACATAGGACTCAAAACATAACTGGTGAAAAAGATTATATTGTAACTGTACCAATCCTGTAGACCTTCTGCCTAGACCTGCGATTAGGCTAGATATTATGTTCATGGTATGTAATAATACGTAACATAAACAAAACTATTACAACACATGTAGTAGTATCAACTAACTTTATAATGTTTATCCAAGAGTTACCTGAACCGCAGGCGTACGGGGCGAACATCCTGACGAGAGAAGCCGATAGCGCGGCGAACACCAGAGCCCACACGATGTAGAATAGGTAACTGATGATGTACGCTCCTGGGCCTTGGCGCTGTCCACCAAGCACTTCGGGCCAAGTTAGCCACTAACAAAAACAAGTATAATTAATTAGTGGTTATTCTATACCTTCACGTTAGTAACTACTAAATAAATATTTATAAGCTACCTGTGAACAGTTTCCAGTGTCAAATGTGGTATCAGTATCGGACCAGCAGCATTGTTCTCGGTTAAGCCAGAAGGCTTGGGGACAGATGCCAAACTTGAGGTCAGTCATCCAAGATGCACCGATATCGATGACTCCAGCCACTATGCCCGTGCAGACTCCCACCAGCAGTACGCACACCCATCCTGACCATGCGTCGTGGGCACCCTGTTTTATAGACATACATCAAATAATGTTCTTATAAAGCAATAATCTACTTCAATGAGGTATTAATTAACAAAATGATTATTCAGCTTCCTGTTATATTGATTCACGATTTTCCAAATTATTTTTTATTATTATTTCTTTTTTCAACCTTCTAATATTTTTTGGTGTGAGTATTGTTAGAGTCAGACCATTTTCATCCGATTATATTTTTATTGTTAGAGTAATTATGAACAATGGATTATGTTTATCAGAATTCTACTATATTATATTTACAATAATTCAATCTTCCTAAACAATTACTAGTGTAACACTAGAAACTAGTTAATAATACAATACCCGCCTTTATAAGATCCCATATCGAGTCCTGCCTCTTCTTGACAATGTATCTATGTCGCATACGATCTCGGGCAATATCTCGCTGCCAGTCAATAGTATGGAAGTCGTCATATTGGCCGATTCCCGGGATGTCATCGTCACCTTTATTAACAAACAATTTAAATTAATTCCATTAAAATATATAGTTGTATTTTTAACCAATTACAATATAATTAACACCTTGGAGGCCCAAATACTCAATCTTGGTGGTCTTAGAACCCTCATCGTCTAATTGCTCACCCCCAAAAGGCTGGCAATGCACTTGTAACTAGTCTGGTTTTTTGGGTGTTCATTGCTTAGCATCAGGTGATCCAACTGCTAGTTTGCCATAAAAATTTTCACAAAAAGACAATAAGTGCTCAGCATTGACAAACTATTAGGTACATCTATTAGATATGTCTCCTCAACGGTGATAGCAATACCATATGAAATGCATAGAAGTTTCATTACAAACTGCAATTTTAACTCAAAATTGATAAGTCTTTAAATAAAGGAAAGTAATGCACAAAGAAATAATGGGTGTGAATGGGCCGGCTCTACCGAAACAATACCATGGCCTCACAGAAAACCGATGTGAAACATTGCTTGCTTTGTGTGTAGTCCTGTGAGTGAGGTTACTGGACGACAGATTACCCCCTTCCCAGTCTCTCCAATCCCCGAACCCCCACAATCTTTAAATTTTCAATTCCCAAAACACCGGTAGAGCACTTGTAAAACCTCTGGTTTCTGGTGTCCATGGGCGGCGCCGATAGTTTACCACCAAGTGATCCGTCTTCTCGTTTACCGGCTTATCCCATAAGTACACATTATGGCACTTAGTGCCACTCTACATTGTAACACCCACTTTTCGCTATTTAGGAAATAATTCCCATGTAACAGCCTATTGCCATATACCGGGCCCAATTTCAGACTCAGTGCTACTACTGAGAAATTTTTAAAAGACCTAGTAATATTTTGCCCCACACGGGAATCGAACCCGAGATGTCTTGCCCAGCAGTCGCCAACAACTCGGCCAACGAGGTAGTCAGTGGAGTGGAGAATAGTATTGTATTAATTTTCCTATTTTACTACAACAGAAACTGTGACCTCTAAGTTTATTGCACTATGCATTTGCCTAGTCAGATAATAAATGTTGCAGCCATAACATTTGGTTCGTGTGAATTGTTTTTACCGCTTATTTATTGAATAAAACATCATTTTGTTTGTCACAACTACACTTAAATAAAATGCATTAGATAATGTAGTAGTAACATGGAATTGTTGGAGAAATAGATATTTATCTCAATGGGTAACCATTCACCTATAGTATCAATAAGTCACCCACATTTAAGTTTAATACTTTGTCAAGTTGTTACAGTTGAGCACTTTGTCTAATCACAAAATTGACAGGTTGCGTCTCCAAACTGCGCAGCCGCTGGTTATGCCGCACTTATTCTGTACAACCATGCAAAACGTTACTCACCTGACATTCCGGAAAATAGAACTGCGTCCCCTGTAACAATATTTTACCTATTATCAATAATTTCCTTATAATCTAAACACAAAGATGTAACGCGATTTGCACACTGTTAACGACATTAAATAAATAAAAATTGAAACTACGTAAAACTATTATCACAGCTATTCTAAATTCTAGATACAGACACAAAAACGATAACACATTGTAAAGATTAAAATAAAACAAAACAAGGTTTAATCAGGTGACGCAGACGCAGCCCATTTCGTCAAGTTGTCAAAATCAAAATTAATGCCAGTGTTGCCAGTAGAGAGATACTAAAACATACTACAAAATTAAAAAATATCTAACTTATCGTAAATTGTGATTTAATCGAACAATAAAACTATTAACTATAAGTCGCTAATAATAGCGCTATGGTTATTTGTTTAATACAAGTGTAATAAATCAACACAAACACCTGTGTTGCATTTCGCAGCTGACGACACGTCGACAACTCTCCATCGATCACGTGACTTTTATGAACATTGCGCTATGAAATTTTCATTTCACTTGTTACAGTATGCAATCATTGTTTAGATATTGTACTTAGTAGATAACTAACTAGGTATTAGATTTATACGAAAACGAGACTAATTGAATTAATCCGAATTTGTAATGTAGTAAACAAAACCTAATCAGTAATCTTCGTTCAGAATGAACCTTTCGTAAGCCTAGTTGTTATCGTTTTTTCTGTAAGGTAAGCCGACTAGAGAAACGAAATGGCTTACCTTGAAGAATAGAATCTAGTGAAAGTAATGTTTAGTTTACCAACATAGTCAACGTCGACGAGGGGCTCAGTGTCCCCGGGGTCTAACTCAACGGGTTCCATGTCTTCATAAGTTATAACACTATTTGCACTGAGCTCTGGCACCGCACTGAACATCGGTAACACATAATCTAATCTCTGCAATAACTTCTTTTATATAGACCAACTTTCGATAAACGCCTTATCTATCGTATTTACAAATGATACATTACATTAGGTAAGGTAGGTACTTAGCTATCAGTTTTTGATTACTTTTTTAACTTTTCAAGTACCTAAATAACAAATGTCAAGAAACCCAACATAGGTACCTAATCTATTTATTTTTTTTCAGTTTGTGGCATTGTTACTGTTTTATAATTATGCAGTTATTATGACACATATATAAATGCCAATGTTAAGTATTATTTTTATCCTTGTCATAATATTATTTGTCCAATAACAACAAAAGAAATAATTTTTGTTATTAAAAACTGGGCAGTTAGACGTAGGTACGAGAATCTCATTAATTTGAAGTTTTAAGTGTGGCAAAGCCATGCATCGGTACGAATGGGCCGGCTCGACCGGAGCGATAGTGGTATCGCTTTCTGTGAGACCGTGGGGTCTCACAGAAAACAGACGTGAAACAACGCTTGCGTTGTGTTACGTCGTGTAAATGAGGTTACCAGATGCCCATTATCCACCTCCCCAGTCGCCCCAATCCCCGAAACCCCCACCATCCTCAAATTTCCAAAAGGCCGGTAACGTACTTGTAACGCCACTGGTGTTTCAGGTGTCCATGGCAGGCGCCGATTGCTTACCACCAGGTTTATTCTTAGTCACGCAACTGGTTGGAGAAGGACTGGGTAGATAGGTACCACAGAACCTGGTAAAAACAAAGGGTCAGTCGCGACCAGCGACCGTGGTTGTACAAAAAGACAGAAAATGTGACATTTCTATAAGCGAGTGACGAATAATATCGTAGAAAAATATTTTGATTCCTGGGGCCGCCCAGGAATCACAATAGAGTAGGACGCGAGACTATGGTTCAAAACTGAGTTTTGTAACTCTTGAAGAATTAAAAACATTTGTGGAAGTACATTACCTACAGGTAAACAAAACCTAGCTTATATAAAGAATTGTTCGGCAGATGATAATGATCCTATAATAACTAAACTAATTCAATGATTGAACCTGCTTGTTGGATTTTTGAGGAGCGCACTAAAACATGCTAAAACCGTTGACTAAAGCACTAAAGTAAATACCTAATAGCCTAGTGGTCGATATGCAGTCCGCCTACACGCGGTGGCTAGTAGCCGGTAGTTACATGGACTAGAGACGCCTTTGTCATTGAACGCATAAAAGATCAAAATCAATCAAAATTATTTGCAATAATTCAAGCAGACTATTTACACACACATACTTAGAAGGTTACACTAACGTCTTTCTTATTAAACATACAATACATGTTCGGTGCATGTACCACATGGGGGTAACAATCGCTATTTCAGATTCTATGAGCAAGCAACCCAATTCAAATACGAGATAATTCATCTTTTGCGAGATAAACAATTCCTAAAATCGTGATAAATATTAATTTTGATAAAATGTGAATAGAACCCGCTCCAAGCTACGCCCATGGTGTACTAGAGACAAGCTAAGACAACACTATTCTGTTGTTGTTGCAATTACTAATGTTTACAGGTAACGACTATAGCTTACCCGCAGAAGAACTGAAGTATTGAGCGATGTAGGCTTGAAACAAAAAACAATGTTCAATATATAATTATAGTGTACAGATACTCCCTATGCTAAGTGAAATTTTAATGGACTATTTGTGTTGTAAATAAAGTCCTAAAATTCGATTATATTCTAATAATAACCGCACAAAACCTAGTGAAGTTTATTTTTGACTTCCATTATAAATCGTATGACAACAACCACAAACATGCCATTTTGTTTATTACAGTGCAGACATTTTCAATCGCATCAATTTTTTGCGGTTAGTGAATATAAAGTCGCCGGTTATCCTTACTAATATTATAAATCTAAAAGTGAGTTTGTTTGTTTGTTCCACTTTCACGCCGTAACTGCAAAACCGATTGCTTTGAATTTTTGCAGACGTAAAGTTAGAAGGCCGGGTTAAATAAAAGGGTACTTTTTAATGCGAAAAAATTTGATATTTCCGAGGAAAAACAAAAGTATTGGTATAGATGGCGCTGTGTGTATTGGTATATGTCATATAGACTACTTTTTAACCTTTTGTGACGCGAGCGAAGCCGAAGCGAATGGTAACCGTTTTAGTACTTAATATAGCTTATTGGGTTGTATCTCCAACCAGCCTGCAATATATCGCAGGGCAAGTAGCGAGGCTAAGAAAGGCAGAGTACGGGCTTGAAAATAGGTACTTACAGTTGGCGCTGGCGTTGGAGTTCCTACCGCCGTGCTCGTAGAGCTGGAAGGTGCCGTGGCTGGTGGGCGTAGTGACACTAGCAGCGGCGGCCTGCTGGAGTCCCGCCGTGATATCTACCATGTCATCTTCACTCGTCGACTGCGCGCCTCGCCCGTTGCTGGTGTTTGCACCCTGACAACAAAAGAAATTCTGCGTTAGTCATCACATCTATTCAGTCGAGTAAAGAAAAAGAAAAAGAAAATCAGATAAAGAAACATTAAACTAGTACCTACTATGATGATAAATTTAGCACGCTTGTGCCTACACAACACAAGACCTACTCATTTATCTGTTAAATCATAATCGAAACTGTCTTTTCATACTTTCATTCCCTCACACGTTCCTCATTACTGTTATAAAATTCATTCGACGCCGCAATCTATTTCGCAAACTTTCATTTACGACTTAATAAACATTTCTCCCACATTTAGCAAAACCTTCTAGAATGTTTTAAACATTTATTCATATTCACGCTCACACTCACACATGATACAAAGGGATTACCGTTTGACACTATGGCTTGACACATGAATTGTAGCCGTATTACAAACGATGCCGTTGTTCTTTCTTGCGATGATGTCTTCGATGAACGTACAAGCTCAGTGTGTACTAACATGTTAATCAGGGCACTATTCGAGTGTCACCCCCTGGTTGACATGTGAGCACAGCACTAAGTTTGATATGCGCCACCACGATGTCACATTAATCGATAATCAAGCACAAACGATGCCGTTGTTCTTTCTTCCGACGATGTCTTCGATGCACGTACAAGCTCAGTGTGTACTAACATGTTAATCAGGGCACTATTCGAGTGTCACCCCCTGGTTGACATGTGAGCACAGCACTAAGTTTGATATGCACCACCACGATGTCCTATAATTCAATATTAATCACAAACGATGCCGTTGTTCTGTCTTCCGATGATGTCTTCGATGCACGTACAAGCTCAGTGTGTACTAACATGTTAATCAGGGCACTATTCGAGTGTCACCCCCTGGTTGACATGTGAGCACAGCACTAAGTTTGATATGCGCCACCACGATGTCCTATAATTCAATATTAATCACAAACAATGCCGTTGTTCTTTCTTCCGATGATGTCTTCGATGCACGTACAAGCTCAGTGTGTACTAACATGTTAATCAGGGCACTATTCGAGTGTCACTCCCTGGTTGACATGTGAGCACAGCACTAAGTTTGATATGCGCCACCACGATGTCACATTAATCGATAATCAATCACAAACGATGCCGTTGTTCTTTCTTGCGATGACGTCTTCGATGAACGTACAAGCTCAGTGTGTACTAACATGTTAATCAGGGCACTATTCGAGTGTCACTCCCTGGTTGACATGTGAGCACAGCACTAAGTTTGATATGCGCCACCACGATGTCACATTAATCGAATCAATCACAAACGATGCCGTTGTTCTTTCTTCGATGATGTCTTCGATGCACGTACAAGCTCAGTGTGTACTAACATGTTAATCAGGGCACTATTCGAGTGTCACCCCCTGGTTGACATGTGAGCACAGCACTAAGTTTGATATGCGCCCACGAAGTCACATTAATCGATAATCAATCACAAACGATGCCGTTGTTCTTTCTTGCGATGACGTCTTCGATGAACGTACAAGCTCAGTGTGTACTAACATGTTAATCAGGGCACTATTCGAGTGTCACTCCCTGGTTGACATGTGAGCACAGCACTAAGTTTGATATGCGCCACCACGATGTCACATTAATCGATAATCAATCACAAACGATGCCGTTGTTCTTTCTTCCGATGATGTCTTCGATGCACGTACAAGCTCAGTGTGTACTAACATGTTAATCAGGGCACTATTCGAGTGTCACCCCTGGTTGACATGTGAGCACAGCACTAAGCTTGATATGCGCCACCACGAAGTCACATTAATCAATAATCAATCACAAACGATGCCGTTGTTCTTTCTTCCGATGATGTCTTCGATGCACGTACAAGCTCAGTGTGTACTAACATGTTAATCAGGGCACTATTCGAGTGTCACCCCCTGGTTGACATGTGAGCACAGCACTAAGTTTGATATGCGCCACCACGATGTCCTATAATTCAATATTAATCACAAACGATGCCGTTGTTCTTTCTTCCGATGATGTCTTAGATGCACGTACAAGCTCAGTGTGTACTAACATGTTAATCAGGGCACTATTCGAGTGTCACCCCCTGGTTGACATGTGAGCACAGCACTAAGCTTGATATGCGCCACCACGAAGTCACATTAATCGATAATCAATCACAAACGATGCCGTTGTTCTTTCTTCCGATGATGTCTTCGATGCACGTACAAGCTCAGTGTGTACTAACATGTTAATCAGGGCACTATTCGAGTGTCACCCCCTGGTTGACATGTGAGCACAGCACTAAGTTTGATATGCGCCACCACGATGTCACATTAATCGATAATCAAGCACAACGATGCCGTTGTTCTTTCTTCCGACGATGTCTTCGATGCACGTACAAGCTCAGTGTGTACTAACATGTTAATCAGGGCACTATTCGAGTGTCACCCCCTGGTTGACATGTGAGCACAGCACTAAGTTTGATATGCGCCACCACGATGTCACATTAATCGATAATCAAGCACAAACGATGCCGTTGTTCTTTCTTCCGACGATGTCTTCGATGCACGTACAAGCTCAGTGTGTACCAACATGTTAATCAGGGCACTATTCGAGTGTCAACCCCTGGTTGACATGTGAGCACAGCACTAAGTTTGATATGCGCCACCACGATGTCACATTAATCGATAATCAAGCACAAACGATGCCGTGTTCTTTCTTGCGATGATGCTCGATGCACGTACAAGCTCAGTGTGTACTAACATGTTAATCAGGGCACTATTCGAGTGTCACCCCCTGGTTGACATGTGAGCACAGCACGAAGTTTGATATGCGCCACCACGATGTCACATTAATCGATAATCAATCACAAACGATGCCGTTGTTCTTTCTTGCGATGACGTCTTCGATGAACGTACAAGCTCAGTTGGTACTAACATGTTAATCAGGGCACTATTCGAGTTCACTCCCTGGTTGACATGTGAGCACAGCACTAAGTTTGATATGCGCCACCACGATGTCACATTAATCGATAATCAAGCACAAACGATGCCGTTGTTCTTTCTTGCGATGATGTCTTCGATGCACGTACAAGCTCAGTGTGTACTAACATGTTAATCAGGGCACTATTCGAGTGTCACCCCCTGGTTGACATGTGAGCACAGCACGAAGTTTGATATGCGCCACCACGAAGTCACATAATCGATAATCAATCACAAACGATGCCGTTGTTTCTTTCTCCGATGATTTCATCGATGCACGTACAAGCTCAGTGTGTACAACATGTTAATCAGGGCACTATTCGAGTGTCACCCCCTGGTTGACATGTGAGCACAGCACTAAGTTTGATATGCGCCACCACGATGCACATTAATCGATAATCAAGCACAAACGATGCCGTTGTTCTTTCTTCCGATGATGTCTTAGATGCACGTACAAGCTCAGTGTGTACTAACATGTTAATCAGGGCACTATTCGAGTGTCACCCCCTGGTTGACATGTGAGCACAGCACTAAGTTTGATATGCGCCACCACGATGTCACATTAATCGATAATCAAGCACAAACGATGCCGTTGTTCTTTCTTCCGACGATGTCTTCGATACACGTACAAGCTCAGTGTGTACTAACATGTTAATCAGGGCACTATTCGAGTGTCAACCCCTGGTTGACATGTGAGCACAGCACGAAGTTTGATATGCGCCACCACGAAGTCACATTAATCGATAATCAATCACAAACGATGCCGTTGTTCTTTCTTCCGATGATTTCTTCGATGCACGTACAAGCACAGTGTGTACTAACATGTTAATCAGGGCACTATTCGAGTGTCAACCCCTGGTTGACATGTGAGCACAGCACTAAGTTTGATATGTGCCACCACGATGTCACATTAATCGATAATCAAGCACAAACGATGCCGTTGTTCTTTCTTGCGATGATGTCTTCGATGCACGTACAAGCTCAGTGTGTACTAACATGTTAATCAGGGCACTATTCGAGTGTCACCCCTGGTTGACATGTGAGCACAGCACGAAGTTTGATATGCGCCACCACGAAGTCACATTAATCGATAATCAATCACAAACGATGCCGTTGTTCTTTCTTGCGATGACGTCTTCGATGAACGTACAAGCTCAGTGTGTACTAACATGTTAATCAGGGCACTATTCGAGTGTCACTCCCTGGTTGACATGTGAGCACAGCACTAAGTTTTATATGCGCCACCACGATGTCACATTAATCGATAATCAATCACAAACGATGCCGTTGTTCTTTCTTCCGATGATGTCTTAGATGCACGTACAAGCTCAGTGTGTACTAACATGTTAATCAGGGCACTATTCGAGTGTCACCCCCTGGTTGACATGTGAGCACAGCACTAAGCTTGATATGCGCCACCACGAAGTCACATTAATCAATAATCAATCACAAACGATGCCGTTGTTCTTTCTTCCGATGATGTCTTCGATGCACGTACAAGCTCAGTGTGTACTAACATGTTAATCAGGGCACTATTCGAGTGTCACCCCCTGGTTGACATGTGAGCACAGCACTAAGTTTGATATGCGCCACCACGATGTCCTATAATTCAATATTAATCACAACGATGCCGTTGTTCTTTCTTCCGATGATGTCTTAGATGCACGTACAAGCTCAGTGTGTACTAACATGTTAATCAGGGCACTATTCGAGTGTCACCCCCTGGTTGACATGTGAGCACAGCACTAAGTTTTATATGCGCCACCACGATGTCACATTAATCGATAATCAAGCACAAACGATGCCGTTGTTCTTTCTTCCGATGATGTCTTCGATGCACGTACAAGCTCAGTGTGTACCAACATGTTAATCAGGGCACTATTCGAGTGTCACCCCCTGGTTGACATGTGAGCACAGCACTAAGTTTGATATGCGCCACCACGATGTCACATTAATCGATAATCAATCACAAACGATGCCGTTGTTCTTTCTTCCGATGATGTCTTAGATGCACGTACAAGCTCAGTGTGTACTAACATGTTAATCAGGGC